ACACACACACACACACACACACACACACACACACACACACACACACACACACACACACACACACACACACACACACACACACACACACACCCTTCCGGGAGCCCAGGCAGAAGCCTGGGGTGGACACAGGGTCTCGGCCAAGGACGATGCTCCCTAGAAGTATGTTGTGCACATTTTTGGTCACTTGAGGGTCACATTTTGGACTTGAGGGTGAGGACACAGCTGGCACCGGGTGGGCAGAGGCAGGGAGGCTCTAGACAGCCTGCAGCAACCAAGACACCACATGGTGAACAAGCCATCCCGAGATGAAGAATCATCCATGGCTGGGAAGGTGGCTCAGTCAAGTGCTCGCCTAGCACTTATGAAGCTCTGGGTTCAGTTCCTCAGAACCACATACACAGAAAAAGCCAGAAGTGACGCAGTGGCTCAAGTGGTAGAGTGCTAGACTTGGAGCTCAGGGACAGTGCCCAGGTCCTGAGTTCAAGTCCCAGGACTGGCAAAGAAAAAAAAAGCATCCACATCTAGTGCTGGTGGCTCATACCAACAATCCTAGCTACTCAGGAGGCTGAGATCTGAAGACTGTGATTGGGAGTTAGCCCAGGAAGGACAGTCCAAGAGACTGTTATCTCCTACCAAAAAAGCCAGAAGGAGCTGTGACTTCTGCAGCAGAGTACAAACCTTGAGCACAAAAGCTCAGGGACTGGACCCAGGCCCTGAGTTCAAGCCCCAGAACAGGCACAAGGAAAAAAACAAAAAAAAAAGGAATTATCCAGCCCTCCCTCCCTCCTTTGGTATAGTGGGCATACCCTCCCTCCTTTGGTATAGTGGGCACATTTTCAGTCTGCTGGGAAGATTAAGGTTATTACAGCACTGATGACAGATTTCTAGCTGGACTGGACTGGAAAATCATGGAGGGCCCTGAAGGAGGACCCAGCCTTAGGAAGGAGGACCTAGAGGGCCAGGGAAGACAGCACAGGAACCTAGAGACAGGTCTCCCAAAGTTGTTTACACCCTGATGCTCAGCACTCAGCAGTATGTTGTGATAGCCAATGTGATTTGGGTAGCAGACCTTACGTAGGAGGGAAATCTGGTATCCCATGAGCAGTGAACAGCTGAGAACTTTGCAGGTGGAGGCAGAAGAAGTCAGAGGTTCCAGGCCTGAGAAAACCCCCACCCCTCAAAACCGAGCTGTAAGAAGAACCATAGGGTGGCCTCTGGGAACTGACAGGCGCCAAGGAGGAGGGATGGAGTTCTACAACCATGAAGAATGTCGTCTCTGTCTATCCGGGGGCATGGAAATGGACCCCCTCCCAGGAGCTCCTAGTAAAAGCCACGCCTGCCAGCGCTGGGATTATGGCAGTGGGAGAGTGACCAGGGCAGGGAACCACAAGCGAGGATTTCTGACCTACAGAATTCAGAGGCGGAATCTGGGTTTGGCAGTGAAGAGTGCAGGGAAGTTGTTACAGTGGCAACAGAAAACTCAAGGCAAACTGCTGAACCACCTTAGAAGCAGGGAGTGGCAGGTCTCAAGGTCCTGGGCAGGCAAAATAAATGTCTGAAAGTTTACCCACCCCGAGGAGTAACAGGTTTCCATCCATCCAGTCACCAAGTTGACTCACCCCTCTATCCAGGAAAAGTTGCTTTCCTTTCCCTCCCTCTTCCAGACTCCTGTTTATCAGTCAACACCGAGTCCAGTCTGCGTCTTTGCTAGAATCTTTCCTGACCCCATCTGCCTGACTCCCCCGCCCCCCTCAGCAATGCCCCCAGAAGCTTGTCGCTGAAGACACCCCCCCAAACTTTACAGCCCCTCTGGCCCACCGCAGGGACCGACACAGTAGGCGCCGTTCATGTTTTCCAGCTGCCTTGAAATTCGATTCGTGCGTTTAGGCGAAATCGCATCCTTCCACAACCCAACCTGCCCTTACCTTGCACGACCATCTCTCTCTTCGGGGCCGCAAGCCGGCACTGGGGGCTGGCTTTCGGGATGAGAGTTCTGAGAACCAGGTGGAGCTCGGCGGGCGCGGGCGGGCGCGCCGCCTCCCCGGAGCTGGTGAGGAAGGCCAGCATCTCCGGGTTGTCTCCGGCGGCGAGGCTGTGGGAGAAACGTTCCCACAGCAACTCCAGGTCCGCGGCCGGGTGGTCGCCGTCGCCGCCTGCGGCCTCCCCGCGTCGCTC